CTTCCTCCACTTCCCCTCCATTGTAAAAGCCTTTTCTTGTCTGTTTTATGTGAGATAATTTACCCCATTCAACCTCTCCCTTTCTCCTCCCAGTATAATCCTCTCTCACCCCTTAATTTTATTCTCCAGATATCATCCTTTCATCTTCAACTCACTCTGTGCCATCTATCTGTCTATCTACCTATCTATCTATCTATCTATCTATCTATCTATCTATCTATCTATACATATAATTTTTTCCCTCCAACTACCCTAATACTGACAAAGATCTCATGAGTTACAAATATCATCTTTCTATACAGGAATGTAAGCAGTTCAACCTTAATAAGTTCCTTATGATTTCTCTTTCCTGTTTACCTCTTCATGCTTCTCTTGAGTCTCATATTTGAAAGTCAGATTTTCTATTCAGCTCTGGTCTTTTCATCAGGAATGCTTGAAAGTCCTCTATTTTACTGAATGTCCATTTTTTCCCCCTGAAGGATTATAATCAGTTGTGCTTGGTAGGTGATTCTTGACTGTAATCCTATCTCCTTTGCCCTCTGGAATATTATGTTCCAAGTCCTGTGGTTCCTTAATGGAGAAGCTGCTAAATCTTGTGTTATCCTGATTATGTTTCCACAATACTTGAATTGTTTCTTTCTGGCTGCTTGCAATATTTTCTCCTTGACCTGGGAACTCTGGAATTTGGCTATAATATTCCTAAGAGTTTTCCTTTAGGGATCTCTTTCAGGAGGTGATTGGTAGATTCTTTCCATTTCTATTTTGCCCTCTGGTTCTAGAATATCAGGGCAGTTTTCCTTGATAATTTCTTGAAAGATTTTATCTACGCTCTTTTTTTGTTCATGGCTTTCAGATAGTCTAATAATTTTTAAATTATCTCTCCTGGATCTATTTTCCAGGTCAGTTGTTTTTCCAATGAGGTATTTCACATTGTCTTCTATTTTTTCATTCTTTTGGTTTTGTTTTACATCTTGATTTCTCATAAAGTCAATAGCTTCCAAATGCTCCATTCTAATTTTTAAGGAAGTATTTTCTTCAGTGAGCTTTTGGACTTCCTTTTGCATTTGGTCAATTTTGTTTCTTAGGGCATTCTTCTCCTCATTGGCTTTTTGGACCTCTTTTGCCATTTGGGTTAGGCTATTTTTTAAGGTGTTATTTTCTTCAGTATTTTTTTTTTTGGGTCTCCTTTAGCAAGCTGTTGACTTGTTTTTCATGATTTTCTTGCATCAATCTCATTTCTCTTTCCAGTTTTTCTTCTACTTCTCTTACTTGCTTCTCAAAATCCTTTCTGAGCTCTTTCATGGCCTGGGACTCATTCATTTTTTTCTTGGAGGCTTTGGATGTAGGAGCTTTGACTTTGTCATCTTCTTCTGGTTGTATATTTTGATATTCTTTGTCACCAAAGAAAGATTCTGTGGTCTGACTTTTTTTTGTGCAGTTTGCTCATGATCCCAGCCAATTACTTGAGTTATAAACTCATTGTTAAGGTAGGAGTCTGCTTCCAGTGTGGTGAATGTACTGTCCCAGGCTTGGCGGGGTTTGAGCAGCTGTTTTCAGAGATACTTCTAGGGACCTGTAAATTTTCAATTCTTCCAAGGTGGTATGATCAAGGGCGAGGCGTTTACTCCTTTCCTGGACTGTACTCTGGTTTATGAGTGACCACAAGCACTCTTTTCTGCCTTGGAACTGTGAGGAGGATTCCCTCTCCACCACTACTACGAGTTCCACCATGCCAGTGTTCCTCCTCATCCCTGCAGTGCCACCCAGAACTGCGACCCAGATCCAAGCATGGGCAAAGCAAGGAAATCTTGTCTGAGCACCAGCAAAGAGATCCCTGCAATCCCCCTCTGATCAGCCACTTGATTCCCCTCAGTCTGTGGGCCAGAAGCTCTGGAAGCAGCTGCCACCCCAGGGCCACGTGGGGACTGGGGCTGGGACCACGCTTCTCTCTCACTGCAGTCACAGACTTTTCCTACTGACCTTCTAAGTTGTCTTTGGCATTTGTGGGTTGAGAAGTCTGGTAAGTGCCACTGCTGCCTGTGATTCAGTCCTCTGAGGCCTACTCCAGGTTTGCTGAGGCCTGATCTTTGCTTGTGCGCCCATGCTGAACTGCATTTCTCTCCCATTCTGGTGCAATAGACCTTTCCAATCAACCATCCAGGTTGTCTTGGGCTGGAAGTTTGTTTCACTCTGTCTTTTTGTGGGTTCTGTTGCTTTAGAATTTGTTTAGAGCCATTTTTTACAGGTATTTGGAGGGGTTTGGGGGAGAGCTCAAGCAAGTCACTGCTTTCACTCCTCCATCTTGGTTCCACCCCTGTGATGGTGGTAGTGAATGGATATCATTAAGCACATGGTCCATCATGAATTTCAGGGGGAATCCCTAACTCAGGAAAACATACAGATCTATAAAATATGGTCTCTATATAATGAGAATAAAATACTTAACAAAAACGCTAAAGATAAGAGACATACAATTAATCCTGAGAGGAGGATGGAATTGGATTAGCTCTCCCAGACCCAATTGGCCTACCTCGTAGAAACTTCCCAATATAGTTCCCAGTATAGTGCCAACTATAATCCAAGTGCTATGCTAGGGTTATGACTGGAAAAGTGAGATAGGTAGTTCCTGCCCTCAAGAAGCTTACATTCTACCAGAATACTTAGCATGGGGAGAGAGATATAGACAGATACCAGGAGAGAGAGAGAGATAGACTAGCAAGTCACTCATGCCCTCTAGAAGAGCAAGCTTCTTCTCTCCATCACTGCCCACAGAGGAGATGAAAGGCCATGATGCTCTAATCTCCAGAACAGAGGTGAGAGAGAAAAAATAGAAGTTCTGTCTGCCAGATACAAAGGATGTAAGTTTCCTCAGCTTACATGTAAAATTCCTCAGCTCAGTAGGAAGAAGAGTAAGGTCAAAAGGTGGCAACATCAGAACATCTGTATTATGAAGCCTCAACTTTTTCTTCCATTCTAGTCAGATCACATATCCCGGGATCAAAGCCTTCTTAGATATGCCCTCTGAAAAACTAGAAGAAACATCATATCTTCTGTGTCTCAAACTCTACCAGAACTGAAGTCTCCATCACCACCCATTTCCAAGTCAGTTTTGAACCCACGGAGTCCTGACAGACTAAACAACAGAGAGCTGCCTCCTCAATCCAATCAACATCACTTTTTGGGGACCACCGGATCTTCTAGGAGAAGCCCAGGTAGGAAAGGGTTATTGTAAGCAGCTAGCAGGTAAATGGATGTCAGCCATCAATTACAATAGAAACCACAGGCTTATCTTCCTGTTATCTTTCAATCTTACTATTCAATCAGCCTAGTTCCTTTTCTGCTCTTACATGTCTTCAGTGATTCCTTTCCCACATACATGTTGAAATATCCTCATACCTAGCATACATCTTTCCAGATAAACCAGATGTTGACCAAATGGGAATCCTTGACCACTGAGCCATATGCATTCCCTAACTCCTTAACTACATGTAGGCTCCGAGAGAGATGACCCTTTTGTGCTTTGATTTGTTCAAAGGCTTCTCAGAGGTTTTTGAAAGGAGCTGACTTTGGGTTGTACAAACAGTAGAGCAAAAGGATGCATTCTTATCTTTTGTATGGAATTATGAAGAAAAGCAGGACCCTTTAAGTCCATAGCACCCAGAAGGAGCATATACATCTTTAATTTTCCATCACAGACTGCCTTGCTGGCCTTATTCATACCTGGAGCTCAGTGACCTCTCTTTATATGTTATTTCAGGTAATGGACACATATCTCTGTTCCAGGTCTTAGTCCTAATATCTGAATGTCTTCTTTCTCTTAGAATGTTCTCTGTGGGTGCCTGGCTGCTATTTACCTGGCCAAGCTCATTGGTAGAATGACAATAAGAGGCACACACATGTGCTGGGCCATCTTGACTGCAACCTTCCCTTATTCTCTATCCATGTGACAGAGAGACAGAGACAGAGACAGAAACAGATGGTAGACAGATAGGTCGATAGAATAAAGGAGCACTTATTAAGTACTTACTGTGTGCCAGACATGGTGTTAAGTATTGTGGATATAATTAAAAACAAGCACAACAGCTCTTGCCCTCAGGAAGCTTACATTTTAATTGAGAAAAGCAACACATAAAGGAGAGCTAGGAAAAGAGGGGAGGCATGCTACATGTGTACAAAGGGCAGGGAAGAGATATGGAGGCCTGATTCTGGACAAGATAAATAAAAAAACTAAGCCATCAGAGTCCATTGTAACAGGAGCAGAGTCCAAGCTTCTAGTAGGAGGAAAATGAGGAACCAAGGGAGGAAAACATTCAGAGTGTGCACTTCTCCAACTGGGGAGATAACACAAAAAGTCATTGACACAGCACATGTTATTTTTTAAATTTATTTTTATTTTTTTATTAATTTATTTTGATTTATCAATTATCACTTCCATATGCGTTTGAGTTTAAAATTTTTCTCCCCCTTCCTCCCCACCACCCTCCCCAAGACAGTGCACAATCTGATATAGGCTATACATTTACATTCATATTAAACATATTTTCACATTAGTGATGTTGTAAGTAGAAATTAAAACCAATAGGAGGAACCATCAGAAAGAAGAAACAAAACTCAACAGAAGAGAAAAAAAAATAGCAATTCGACTTCCATAGTTCTTTCTTTGGATGTGGATAGCGTTTTCCATCACAAGGCCTCTGGAGATGTCTTGGGTCCTTGTATTGCTGGGAAGGATTAAGTTTATCAATATTAGTCATCACACAACGTGGTTGTTATTGTGTACAATGTTCTCTTGGTTCTGCTCACTTCCCTCAGCATCAGACCATACAAGTCTTTCCAGGTTTTTCTGAAGTCAGCCTGTTCATCATTTCTTATAGCACAATAGCATTCCATCACATTCATATACCACAACTTGATGGACATCCCCCAATTGATGGACATCCTCTCAATATCCAATTCTTTGCCACCACAAAAAGAGCTGCTATGAATATTTTGGTACATGTAGATCCTTTCCCCTTTTGTGTGATCTCTTTGGGATATAGCCCTAGAAGACAGCACATGTTATTACAGACAATAACTACATTCCAAAGTACATAAGAGAGGGGCAGCTAGGTGGCACAGTGGATAGAGCACCGGTCCTGAAGTCAGGAGGACCTGAGTTCAAATCCGGCCTTAGACCAAACAGTTGACACGTACTAGCTGTGTGACCCTGGGCAAGTCACTTAACCCCAATTGCCTAAAAAAAAAAAAGTACATAAGAAGTATAATTTTATTATTCCCAAAGTCTTACCTTTGTTTGTTCCAGCCTCATTCATGCTCTGACCTAGGCTAGTTCACACAATAAAAGGAGATTTCAAATCAACAATCAATCAATCAACCAACAAGTACTTATTCAGCATCTACTGTGTGCCAGGCATTGAGCTAGATTCTGAGGACACAAGTACAAAGAATGAAACCATGTTGTTGTTCAGTTGTTTTCAGTCATGTCCAACTCTTCGTGACCCCATTTGGGGGTTTACTTGGCAAAGACACGGGAGTGGTTCGCCATTTCCTTCTCCAGCTCATTTTACAGATGAAGAAACTGAGACAAAAAGGGTCAAGTGACTTGCCCAGGGTCACACGGATAGGAAGTATCTGAGGCTGGATTTGAACTCAGGTCTTCCTGACTTCAGGCCTGGCACTCTATCCACCATGCTACCTAGCTGCCCTAAAAGAGCTTACATTCTAAAGGGAGGGACAATAAGTACATATGTAAATATATGCAACATAAATAGAAATTTAATAAATACAAATATTTACAAAGTATATACAAGGTCACTTAGGAAAGAGGGGTGGGAGTGGGAGGGATCAAAAAAGGCTTCATGAAGAAGTCATTGGGTCACATCTCAGAAGAGAGGGATTCAGTGAGGAAGAGGTAAAGGGGGAGCGCTTTCCAAGCACGGCATATGCTTGCCAGTATGAAAGCACAGAGATAAAGATGGAGTGTTGGAAGAAACGAAGAGAAGGCTAGTTAGGCTGGATTGCAGAGTATGGGCCAGGGATTAAACTCCAATGGAGCTGTAAAGACAGGTTGGGGTGGGGCAGCTAGGTGGTGCAGTGGATAGAGCACTGGCTCTGGATTTAGGAGGACCTGAGTTCAAATAGGGCCTCAGACACATAACACTTACTAGCTGTGTGACCCTGGGCAAGTCACTTAACCCCATTGCCTAGCCAAAAAACAAAAAAAAATGAAGACGAGTTGGGGAAAGGTTATGCAGGGCTTTAAAAGCTAAACAGAGGAGCCTATATTTGATCCTAGAGGCAATAGGAAGCCACTGCTGTTGGTTAAGCAGGGGAATCACAGAGTCAGCTCTGTGCTTAGGGAAAATTACTTTGGCAGAAGTGTGTAAGAGGGACTAGGGTGGTGAGAAATTTGGGGCAGGGAGGCCAATTAGGAGTCCATTGTAAATAATCCAGGTAAGATGTGATGAGGGCCTGAACTCACCTATTAGCTGTGTAAGTGTGGAAGAGTCAGATACAGGAGACGTGATGGAGGTAGACATGGTGAGACTTGGCAACTGATTTGATAGGTGAGTGAAGGAGATTGAGGAATCCAGGATAATGCCGAGATTATGAATCTGGGAGACTGGAAAGATGGTGGTGCCTTGAAATAAATAGGGAAGTTTGGAAGAGGGGAGAGTTTGGGGGAAAGTAATGAATTCTACTTTTGATATGTTGAGTTTGAGTTATCTTTTAGAAATCCAGTTTGAAATGTCCAATAGGCAATCAGTGATGCAGTACTGAAACTGAGGGGAGAGACGGCGGTTAGATATGTAGCTCTGGAAGTCTGTACGGAAATGACAAATCCATGGGATCTGATGAGGTTACCAAGAGAGAGGATATAGAGAAGAGAAGAGGGCCTAGGACCAAACCTTGGGAAACACCCACAGTTAAAGGGTGTGATGTGAACATTGGACTTGTATCATAGGATTTAGAGCAGGAAGGGACAGACTTTAGACATCATCTATTTCCAACACTCCCCCTTATTTTCTGTATGAGGAAATCAAGGCCTAAAAAGGTAAAATCACAAAATCATAGAATCTCAGAGTTGAAAAGGATCTCAGAGGCCTAGAATCTAGGACAGAGCTTCTCAGAACGGGGTCCATGGATCCCCAAGGGTTCTCTGGATAGATTTCAGAAGGTTTATGAACTTAGCAAAAAAAAAAATCACATCTTTATTTTCACGAACCTTTGGTTTCCTTTGTAATCCTATCTATGTATTTTATTTTATGCATTTAAAAACATTATTCTGAGAATGTCATACCAGACTACTAAAGAGGTTCATGATACAAAAAAGTCAAGAACCCCTGCTTGGTTTACAACGTAGAACCAGAGACCATCAAGGACCCAACCCCCTCATTTGATGAAGGAGAAAACTGAGAGCCAGAAGATTTCAGTTACTTGCCCAGGGTCACATAGGTAATAAATGAGAGAGACAAGATTTGAACCTCGGTCCTCTGACTCCAAAGCTGGTCCTTTTTCCATTGTACCACACTGACCCTCCATCCCCAGCAAGGGAACATCCAGTGTCCTAGTGGATACTGTTGTGAAAAGAGCCTTGGTCTTGGAGTTGGCCAAAAAGCTAGGATACAAATCTGGGACAGTGGTGCAGTGGTTAGAGTGCTGAGCCTGGAGTCAAGAAGACTCATCTTCATGAGTTCAAATCGAGCCTCAGACTCTTACTAGCTGTGTGACTCTAGGCAAGTCACTTAATCCTGTTTGCCTCAGTTTCTTCATCTGTAAAATGAGCTGGAGAAGGAAATGGCAAACCAATCTAGTATCTTTACCAAGAAAACACTAAATGGATTCACAAAGAGTCAGAACAACAATAATCAAATCTGAGCTTCAGTAGTAACTGATCTCAGGACAATTCGCTTGTTTAAAGCTGTTTCTGCATCTATCAAATTGGGGGTGGGGTATGGGCAGGCAAGATGACCTCTAAGTTCTTTCCATTTCTAAATCTTCTTGATCCTTTGAAACGCACCATGGGAATGTACGGTAGCAATGTACTATTGAGAGATGAGGGGCCAAAGCCAATGGCATCTTTCCTCTGTGACAGGCCTTTCTCTTCCAAATAATTCATGGTTATTTCACTTAACACGGCAGCAGTGTGTTTTATGGCTGATCGTTTCATAATTATGCAATGGAAATGTCTTTTAAAATGCCTGGGTAGCTATACATAAGCAGGATTTGTTTGAGCATCTTATGTCATTTTTAAAAGTTGGCAGTCAGCGTGATCAACTTTGGAAAGAGCTTTGAAAATGGGAGTTCCATTTGAATGAGAAGGGATGGAGTGCTCCTTGTCCTAAACTAAACAGCATCTTTTAGAATGCTGGCCTTGAGGATTCCTGGGACAATTAAATCATGTACCTGATGATTAATTGTTTAGAAAAATAACCTGGGAAGCAGGTTGCGTCAGCCAGAAGATAAATTTGTTAAAGTTCTCTGGCTCTCGCTGGAGTGAGAAATATTAGACAGTGGTGTAAACCGACTGGAGGAAAGAAGTCATAGAATGTTCCAGAGAGTTTACAAATAGAGATTGGATCCATTATTAAAAGAAAGAAAAAAAAAGACTTCCTGCAGAAGGGACCTTGGAATCCATTAGTCTAATCTCCGAATTTTAGGTTCCCAGAAAAGGGCACTGACTTGCTCAGAATCAAGTCACTAGTTAGTGACAGATGCAGGACTAGAATCCAACTCTCCTGATTCCTCATCTACTTCCATCCTACTCCACAGATGAACCATGATAATAACTAGCATTTATATAAGCACTTTAAGGGCTACAAAGTGCTATGTATATGTTATCTCATTTGATCCTTACAACAGCCCTGGGAGGTAGATGATGTTATTATCCCCACTCTACTGATGAGGAAACTGAGGCTGACAGACTTGCCCAAGGTCACACAGTTATTAAATGTCTGAGTCAGGATCTGAATTCAAGTCCTCTTTACTCCAGGTCTAACACTCTAACCTGTACAGCACTCAGCTGCCTCTCTAACAGGTTCCTAGAACTGACCCAAATAAAACCAGCCATCTCTGCCTCAACTGGATTAGAGAATGAATTCCCTAATCCAAGCCCTGACTCTAAACAGAGATGAATCAGGGTTTTGTTCATTACCTAGGGATATACTGTAATCAGTTTATATTTGCTCAGAGAGCCAATTGTTAAATTTTCAATGTCAGAATTTACACTTCAGAAATCAGCAAACACTCAAAATCAGGGCTTGATTTTGTTGGTTGAAGACTTAAGAAAGCGATGGAGAAAATTATAATAATGCCGATTAAACTGCTTAAAATTTTTTTCAGAGAGCTGATTATTAAATATTTAACAGCACACCTCTGATCCTACTTGACCTGAGGAAAAGGGATCATGAATTTGGGAAGCAGTTAGAATAGGATTTGGGAAATCCCAAAGTGTCAGGATCTGGAGACCATCTGGGTATCTCTTCCTTCTTAAAAAACGTTCGTAGCACCTTTATTTCCAAATATGCCTCTCCCCATCCTGCCCCCAGAGAGCTAGCCCTTACAACAAAGAATCAAAAGGGGGCAGAGAAGTGAGCAAGCGCTTATTAAGTATCTTTTATGTGACAGGCTCTGTACTAAGCGCTTTACAAATATTATCTCACTTGATTCTTACTTACCAGGCATTGTAGTAAATAGGCATTGAGGATAAAGTAGACAAAAATACTCCATAGTCTCAAGTACCTCAGATTCTAATGGGGAAACAAGATGTAATGAGTAGGGAGAAGGAGAGGGAATAGGCATTTATATAGCACTTATTATATGGTAGGCACTGTGCTATGTGCTCACAACAACCTTGCAAGGGAGGTGCAATTATTATCATCATTTTACAGCTGAGGGAATCAAGGCACAAGGAGGTTAAGCAATTTGCCTAGGATCACATAGTTAGTAAGTGTCTAAGGCCAGATTTAAACTCAACTCAAGTCTTCCTGACTCCAGACCCCATGTTCTGTCTACTGCACCACCGGCTATAAGTGAGTAGATATTCCAGCCTTACATGCCGTGTTCTACACCCATAATTTTTTGTGGTTTAGTCGTTTCGGTCATGTCTGACTCTTCATGACCTCACTTGGCATTTTCCTGGCAAAGATACTGGAGTGGTTTGCCATTTCCTTCATTTTACAGCTTATTTTACAGATGAAGAAAATAAGACAAAAAGGTTTAAGGGAGTTGCCCAAGGTCACCTAGATAGTAAGTATCTGAAATTGAATTTGAACTCATGAAGCTGAGTCTTCCAAGGCCACTGCCATATGCTCAGGTATTATAATTTTGTAGCATTCTGTTTTGTTGTGATTGTTTCTTCCACTCACGTTGCTGTGCTCATTGTGTATATTGATTTCCTGGTTCTATTGACTTTGCTTTGCGTCAGTTCGTACAAGTCTTCCTAGGCTTTGCAAGATGATATTCCATAATATTCAGATTTTACAATTTGTTTAGTCATTTCCCGAGGGATTTACTTTGTTTCCAGCCTTTTCTACTATTAAAAAAGTACTGCTATAAATATTTTGGGACCTTTCTTTCTATCTTTGCCCTCCTTAGTGTATGTACCTAGCAGTGGGATCTCTGAGTCAAGGGGTAGGGGCATCTCACTCATCTTCTTGGCATGATTCCACATTGATTTCCAGAATGGTTGGGCCAATCCCCAACCTGCCTTTTTATACCATTCAATAAACACAATGCAAATTCATTCAGGCCCAAGTGAGATCCAGGGTTGGGCGACAGTACTGGAAATAGGGACTGAAATTTAAATACCCAAAAGCAAGTAGGTGGGGAACAAACTATTTCCACCCTTCTTAAGAGTCAAATGCCAGAGGTTTACCTTACCTTCAAAGCTTTGGAAAACCTCAGACAGTTTTCTTTCAGCCTTTCCTTCTCTGAATTTTATGGCCTTTGCAAATTACTTTCGATTAAAAGACTGAAAGGCTTCATAAATCTTTGGGGAAACCACAAGAACCAGGTGCTTCACAGATGGGAAACTGAGGCCCACAGCTGTGAAAACCACATCCAAACCAGAAATTCAGAATCTTTCACTGACACTTGGGCCGTGAAAATTCTCTCTAACAGCAATGCTGATAAACTTAGACCTATTGAAGATGAAGAAAGTAGGATAAGTGAACAACAGTAATAACTGCAGTCTGTGCTTTAATAAAACTACACTTATCGCTTCCACATCTCAGGGGTAGGGACCTGGTGCCTCCGTGATCTGGAAAATATGAGTAAAATTATTTGGCCCTCCTTTCGTACCAGAGAAGAAGTCTGAATTTTTTTCTTTTTCTTTTATGGGGTATTTACAGAACCTTATTGTAAAATTTGGGTTAAGTATTTGGTCATAGGCTCTGTGTCATCTGCCAGCCTTCACATGTCATCTAGGACTTTCACAAAACTCCCCCAAAATTCCCATTTAATTTCTTACTCCAACCTGAGGTACAGTGAAACTGTGATGGGGAAAGTTGCAGTGTGGAAGGAATAACCATATAAGTAAAAGAAAAAAAACATAACCTATAGTACTTTAAGGTTTACAAGGGCCTTCACTCACAAACAGTCTTATGAGGTGGGAAAGTACAAATATTATTATACCCATAAGAAATTGAGGCTCAGAGAGGTCAAGAAATTTGCCCAAGGTTGCACAGCTGGTAATCTGATGCTAGATCTGGGGTTCTTTTCACCACATGACGCTGCCTCCAAAAAATCTGGAGATTTTGATTCAACCTCAAGCCTGGGCCTGAAGTATTGCTACTGTAATTCATATACCTAAATTCTCATTGTCACCAGAAGAATCATCATTAGGATGCTGAGAAGAAGCCCAAGCGCTGGGGAGAATTTGGGTCACAGGTAAAAGATTTCCATTTTTATTTCCTTAACTGCCTTGAAATCAACATCTCCCCTGCCTGTGTGAGTCCCTGAAAGGGTGACTGATTTCACAGGGAAGACTGTAGTTGAAGTTCTTAATGGTGCCCTGAGCTTTGAGTGATTGTTGAAATTTAAATAATCAAAGCTACCTCCCCTCAATCACCTCCACTTGCCTCACATTCTGAAGGCATTGTCTTTTTCACGCCTGGGGATTCAGAGTTCCAAGAGAGAGGCAGGTAGGCTATGAGAAGGGAGAAATCCCAGAAGCATTCTGCTCAGCATCCAGGTCGAGAAAAGTTCCTTTTTTTTTGACTTGGTTGTGGGAAATGGTCATTTTGTTTTGTTTTGTTTTGTTTTTAGAGTAGTGAGTCTTAATATGTGCAAAATGAAGACCCAAATGGCCTCTTTTCCTTCCTGGGCTAATGACTACTACATAAGACCACAAATTCAAAGCTTAACCCTTAGAAGCCATTAAGTACACTTCCCCTCATTTTACAGATGAGGAAGCTAGGCACAGAGACATCAGGTGATTTACCCAGGGTTATATAGCCAACAAGTCTCAGAGGCAAGGTTTGAACCCAGGTTTTGGATCCCCCATTCCAAGGCCACTATTCTATATTGTCTTCCATCCTTCAAGGTCTGTTTAATCAGATCAATTGTGTTGGATCTGGCAGACTTCCATGTTGCTGTTTGGTAGTTTTTCAGTCATGTCCAACAACTCACAACTCCATTTGGAGCTTCCTTGGCAAATATGCTAGGGTGATTTGCCATTTCCTTCTCCAGCTCATTTTCAGATGAGGAAATGAGGCAAACAGGGTCAAGTGACTTGCCCAGAGTCACACAGCTAGGAAGTGTCTGAGGCCAGAGTTGAACTCAGGAAGATGAGTCTTCTTGACTCTGGCCCGGTGCTCTAGCCACTGTACTACCTGGCACAGTGTCCCAGTAGGCAAATGAATCCTACAAGCCGATGTCACATCTTTCCCTTTGTATCCAAATATGAGCCTGCTACCTCATGGTCAGTAAGGTGGGTCTTTGGAATTGCTCTTCCAAAGGTAAAAGGGTTATTCTAGTCTGTTCTACCCAATAACACTTCATTACTAGGCGACTAGCTGGGGTTACAATCACATTGGAAGCCAGGGTTACAATCCCACTTGAGGCCAGTGTTTAGAAAGAAAAGGAGGGGCAGCTAGGTGGAGCAGTGGATAGAGTTCCAGCCCTGAAGTCAGGAGGACCTGAGTTCAAATCTGACCTCAGACCAAACACTTGACACTTACTAGCTGTGTGACCCTGGGCAAGTCACTTAACCCCAACTACCTTAAAAAAAAAAAAGAAAGGAAAGGAACCTGGATATCATTAGTCCAAATCCTTCATTTTTTTGAGGAAAGTAAGGCCCCCAGAGGCCAGAGGATTCTAGATCTAGAACTGCAAGAGACCTTAGAAGGTCATCTCTCCCTTTCATTTTATTGATGAGAAAACTAAGGCCCAGAACTATAAAGTGACTTGTTCAAAGTTACAGACAGGCTAGATACATGACAGGCAGCTTAGGTAGCACAGTAGAGAGAGCACTAGGCCTGGAGTCAGAAAGACCTGAATTCAAATCTGGCCTTAGATACTTACCCTGGTAAAGTCACTTAACCTTCTTCTGCATTGGTTTCACCAACTATAAAATGGGGAAAATAGTAGTCCTTCCCTCCCAGGGTTGTTGTGAGGATTAAATAAGATAATATTTTTTAAAAGTACTTTGCAAACCTTAAAGTGCTATATAAATGCTAACTGCTCTTATCTTTAACCATAGAACAGAGTTAATTGACCAGGACAGAAATCAAACCAGAGATCACTGACCCACACAGGGATCTCATGACCTTGATCTCATTAGCACTCTGATATTGGTCTCTTAGCATCTGAGCTAGCCAGCTCAGACAATAGATCACCAACCCTCCCCACCCAATTGTTCTGATCTGAGGCACAGCTGATTCCTTTCCAATTATGATGATGGACACCCAAGGGACAGTATGCCTCAGAACGCCCAGAAACAGTTAATTCCCTAAAACCATTCCTATTAATCTTGGGGTCTGGATAAAATCTAAATTTGGGGCCTCAATTACCTGATCGTGTCCCTTGTAGATTTAGCTGGCAGTAATATTGATGATGACTGCAATCATGTCTCCCACTTAGAGACCAAATTGCAATCCTGTCATAAGCAATCTGTCCTTCAAGTGCATCAGGATGTGGTGATTATTTTTCTTGTTTCTCCGTGGTAGAGATTTTTTTTAGTCACTGAGTTCTTAACCCTTTGTGCCCTATGAGGGACAGCAGAGGTCCACCTAGACAAAGAGGAAGTAAAAGATCGGGTGATGAAGGATTTAATTAAATGAATAGTTATCTGAAGCCATTCATTGGTTCAACAAAAATTAGTAAGTATCAACTGTGTGCAGATTATTGTTCTAGATACCAGGGAAAACACAAAGTTTGGAGAAGATAGAACTCAAGCCCTTGTAGACCTTACAGTTTTGCCAGGGGATAAGAAAGATTGATAGGAAAGATATCATGGAGTTAGACAGGGTGGGATCGGGCAACTGAATGCTTAAAAGAGAGTGAGAAGTCAAGGATGGCACTGATATTGTAAACCTGGGAAGGCTGCCAATGCCCTGGGCCAGAGTCAGCAAACTCCAACCTGAGGGCCAAATCAGGCCCACTGCTTTGAGATAGGAACAGATTTTACATTTTTAAATACAATAAAACTTTATTTCAAAATGTAAAAACTATTCTTAGCTTGCTGGCCTACAAAAATAGGTGGGCTTGAGGCCCATTGACTCAAGAGCACAGAGCCTGCTTGCTGAAGGGCACCAGCCACAGCTCCAAGGTGATACTGGAAAGGAAGAGTATGAGGGTACCAGAGGGAAGGACTGGGAAAATTTTGCTTATGCACCTGGCCAAGGTTAGTTTATAACTGTCCTAAAAAGAAAGAGGGTGGAGGGAGGTTGAGAAGAAGCTCAAAACATATCCCCTATGCTAAGGGGGAAAAGGCATATTATCTGGTAGCTTCCTAATTTAACTAATTACTCAACTAGTTTCTGTAGGGCTGCAGGAAAGTGCTGTCAAAATAGAAATATAACCAATTTAAAATTTGTTCAATTTTTGTACCATATAAATTTCAGTGCCCCTAGCAAAGCTTCTGTCTCTCCACCTTAGGTATGACAGTTGTGAGTTCATGATGATGAAGTGGAGGCAGTGAGTGAAGAGAAAATGGGCAGTGAAAGGGAGGAAAGGTATAACATAATAGCTTGTGGGGATTAGCAAGGTCAATTAAAGATTCTTAAGGATGAAGGAAGAATCCTTAGTATGTTTGTGGGCATAAGGGAGCGAGCCAGTAGATAGGGAGATATTGAAGATGACAGAGAGAGACAGAGAGACAGAGATGAAGAGACACAGAGAGAAGGAGACAAAGAGAGAGACAGAGACTGGAGAACAGAAAAGGGAAATAGGTGAAGATGCAATAAGGATCATTCTGGGACAGGGGTTGGTTTAGTGGTTAAAGCTTGGGAATGGAAGAAAATGAGACCCTTGTTGATCATCTAACCTTGAACAAAAGATTTACTTAGCCATAGCATTAATATTCAGCAAGGATACAGCATAGAATCAGTTGAATATGGCTCTCCTGCCTCCATATTTGCCATGGTGGCTCACCTTGTCAGCACGATGTGTTAAGTTTGAGAAGCCCCTGACTCCTTGTGTGCTGAGTTTTTATACTCAGATGATAGGAAGTCATATCAACAATTTAATCCTTAGTCTCAGGATGGTTTCTTCTGCCATCCCACTCCTTGGTCCTAAAAGTCTTCTAAGTGACCTTTTACCACTTAAATGACCTTAGAGCAATTATTGGACAATCATGACCTCAGGGATGCAAGAATCCTGGCATAGGCAGCACTGGAGGAAAGTAAAACAAAAACAAAAAGAGAAAGATAGAAAAAAGAAAATAAGCAACGTAATGGACCCTGAAGGAATAACTGAACATGGAGGAGAATGAAGACTAGAAATCTTTTAAGTTTTGCCTTGCTCGTTTGTTAGAACCAATCTCTAAATCTTAACAATCTGTTCCTCATAGTGGGTGATACCAAATCTTTGGGGTTCAGAGTGGATTACCTGCTATAAATCAGGAATAATGAGCAGAAACAGCACCAGAAACATTAGGGACACAGCACAAATGTTGATTCTTTAGCATAGCCACCAATTTTTATCACTCTTCAGAATCATTTACAGTAAGGTGTCCAAAAGGTTTACCCATTTCCATGAAACTTGTTCCGAGACCAGGGCCAATGCAGAGACACCCTGTACCACCATCCACTTAACATTCCCTAGCCCACTAGCCAGGATCTCCTTGTCCATGCAATACCCTTCAGAGAAGGCTTTGCCACATAAGGATTGGGTAGTTATACGAAGGTATTTTTGTCTCTGTCTTGTCATTAGAAAGCAAAGCACCTCCCAACAATTCCACCTTTTGGTCCTTGAATAGAGGACATTTATGAAGTTGATCCCTGGGGACTGTATTGGCAGTAATGTAGTATTGCGGATTACCATAATCAAAAGTCTACCATAGGCCTGTCTACATCACTGTCCATACTGGTGCTTCTCTTGATGAGGCCCATGCCACTGTTTGTTTCTTCTGTCTAACCAGAGCCAACTCTATTGAGGCCTATGCACCTCTGTTGTCCCCATCTCCCGAGTTTCTACCCCTGCCACTGCCTCACATTCCTGGTAACTGCTGTACTATTTACAGCTGATACCTGTAGACCAGGATGCCTTGTGAATGATCCACCACATTGAGGAGAAAGGGAAGGCATCAGGCAACTCTGAGGGGTTCTGGCCAGACAGGCCTCCTGCTCCTTATTGGTGGTCAGCCTCTCCAATGCAGAAACTCCTTTTGCTTCCAGTCAACTCTGACTAAGGGATCCAGGAGTTTCTAACCTCTGGAATTCATGAGAATGCCAATGGAAACAGCAGCCCCTCGAGGGAAAGAATTGTTTTAGCTCTTTTGACTCCATATTCCTCCTCCTTCTTACTTGTCTCATCCTCTTCTCCTTGTTGGTGACACCCTCCCCAAGACCACCACTTTAGGAAGTCATGGATTCTTTAGGAAGAATGAATTCTTTCTAGAATCCTCCTCCTTTTCCCTTCCCAATCCTTTCTAGCTTGCCTTTATGTGTTGTCTCCCCTCCCCTAGAATGCCAACTCCTTGAGGATAGGGATTGTCTTGCTTGCTTTTATTTTTATCTCCAGCATTTAGCACAGAGCCTGGCACCAAGTTAATGCTTAATAAATACTAACTGACTGACTATCTAGATAAGTGTTCTGCCCCCAAGCCCGATGTCCCCAGTCCAATGATTCCAGATCTCAAGGAGACCTCATCTCATCTGCTCCAGAAGCAGCAGTGACTAATTCCTGATTTGTCCAAGATCTGTGAGAGGACCAGCATGGCAACCTGGACATCAAGACCCAAAACCTTTCATGTCCATCTTATGAGGGAGTCTTACATTTACAGCGCCAAGAAAAGAGGCTGCTCTGGGAAATAGGCATGGAGGACTCATGGCCATAGTTACCTGTGGAGCACAAGAGGATTTGTTTTAACCCATATGTATTTGATATATTTTGTTATTTTTCCTTTGGTGCCTCATACCACAAGGCTTTCTATTTTAAGTACATTTTTCTTGTACTCACTACAATATAAGGTCACACTTTAAGTCCTGACTAATTGAAAAGGAAAGTGATTCAGTTGGTGGGGGCGCATAAGCTTCATTGTGACTAGATTGGCGACCGAGGTAGGATGTTATCCTGTTAGGAATAACCAGGGGACAATATGGTCTATTTTGTGAAGCAGGGAATCATGTGACATTAGGACTGGAAGGGACATTGGAGATCATCCATTCCAACTCCCTTCTTTTACAGGGGAGGAAACTGAGGCCTTAAGAGATGAAGTGACTTTGGGGGGGGCACATTGATAAGGGTGAACTAAACTCCCTTGGCCACTCAGCAAACTTCCGTGTTCTCTTTTCTGTTTGTTTGTTTGTTTTTTAGGCAATTGGGGTTAAGTGACTTGCCCAGGGTCACACAGCTAGTAAGTGTCAAGTGTTTGGTCTGAGGCTGGATTTGAACTCAGGTCCTCCTGACTTCAGGGCCAGAGCTCTCCGTGTTCTCTTCATCACTCAACTCTCAACATCTCCTCTCCTCCCAGCCCACAGCCTTGGGGATGTGCTCAGTGACTACTTAAGTGAATGTTATTCTGAACAAAATGGAATTATTTAGGTAAATCTGCTACTAAAAAGTAACCATTGTTTGCAGAAGTCAAACATGTTTGAATTCTGCTTGGGTTTTATAACTAGCTGCCCCTGCATTTCACTGGTGTAGATAATTAAGTGTTTGTTATTCCATAGGTAAGACAAGTAGGTACAGTGACTTCGAAAGATCTGTCTTTGGTGAAACACCTTCATGCCGGTTAGCAGCCTCTATCCACCCCTCTGTTGTATAGGTGAGCAAAGGAGGAAGTGAAGTGATGCTATGGCCAGATGGAGACTCCCCAGAATTTCAGAGTGGGACATAGGATGATGAGTTTGGAATTGCAAGGAACCTTATGAGCCATCTTGTTCAAACCTTTCATTTTGCAGATAAGGAGTCTGAGGATCTAAGAGGGTAAAGGACTTGACCAAGGTCACACAGGAGTATAGTAACAAAGCTAGGATTTGAACCCAGGTCTTCTGATTCCAAATCCAGAACTCTTTGATAAAGATCTAAAGAGAAATGGCATAGGCCTTGAAGATCTGCTTTGACAGCTGGTGTTTTAGCCAGAAGGAGATATGAAAAGTTGGTTACAGGCAGCTAGGTGACAGAGTGCTGGCCCTGGAGTCAGGAGGACTTGAGTTCAAATCTGGCCTCAGACACTAGCTGTATGACTTTGGGCAAGTCACTTAACCCTGTTTGCCTCAGTTCCCTCATCTGTAAAATGAGCGGGAGAAGGAAATGGCAAACCACTCCAGAATCTCTGCCAAGAAAACCCCAAATGGGGTCATGAAAAGTCAGACAGTACTAAAACAACTAAACAACAGGTGACACTGGTTAGAGGGTTGGACTTAGAGTGAGGAAGACATTAGTTCAAATCCTGCCTCAAAAACTCAAGAGCTATTTGACTCTGGGCAAATCACTTAATCTTTCTGAGCCTCAGTTTCTCTATCTGTAAAACAAAGATAATAGTAGCACTTGACTTACAAGGTTATTGTAAGGATCAAAGGAGATATTGTATATGTAACATACTTTGTAAACCTTAAAAT